TTAATCCACATATTAAGTGGTATAAGAATGTTAAATAAATTAATCAATGGAAAATTTGAAATGGTTCACATGTACCATAAATATAAGTTTAGCAGACATATATAAAAGTTTGGAGTGCGTTTAGGTATTTTTTTTAAACAACACGAAAGATGGTAAATAGTATATCTAGCATTTAACGGAAAATTCAGCTTTTTCGTAGAGGTTAGCTCACATATTTCAAGATAAATAATAAAAAAATGGAATTTTTTTTTTCATGCATAGCTGCATCATACACCACCATAGTATGAAAATTAAATAGGTTCGAGACCTTAAATGTTCCCGCCTCTACAGAAAATAGAATTTTTATAGGGGTTAATTCATATATTAAGTGGTATATGAACATTAAATAAGTTAATCATTGGAAAATTAGAAATGATACCCATGTACGCTAAAGATAACTTTAGCAAACATATATAGATTTGGAGTGCGTTTAGGTATTTTTAAACAACATGAAAGATGTTAAACAGTATATATAATTTTTAATGGAAAATTCAGCTTTTTCATAGGGGTTAGCCCACATATTTCATGAAAAACTATAAAATATGGAATTTTTGTTTTAATGCATAGCTGCATCATACACCGACATTGTATGAATATTAAATAGGTTTGAGACCTTAAATGTTTCTATTTCTCCAGAAAATATGATTTTTTATTGGGGTTAATCCACATATTAAGTGGTATATGAATGTTAAATAAATTAATCATTGGAAAATTTGAAATGATTCACATGTAACACAAAGTTAAGTTTGGAAAACATAAATAAAATTTGTCGTGCATGTAGGTATTTTTTAAACAACAAGAAAATTGGTAAATAGTATATATAGTATTTAACGGAAAATTCAACTTTTTCATAGGAGTTAGCCCACATAATTCATGAAAAATTATAAAAAAATATAATTATTCTTTTAATGCATAGCTGCATCATACACAGACATAGTATGAATATAAAATAGGTTTGAGACCTTAAATTTATGTGTTTCTTCAAAAAATAGGATTTTTATTGGGGTTAATCCACATATTAAGTGGTATATGAATGTTAAATAAATTAATCAATGGAAAATTTGAAATGGTTCACATGTACCATAAATATAAGTTTATCAGACACATATAAAAGTTTGGAGTGCGTTTAGGTATTTTTTTAAACAACAGGAAAGATGGTAAATAGTATATCTAGCATTTAACGGAAAATTCAGCTTTTTCGTAGGGGTTAGCTCACATATTTCAAGATAAATTATAAAAAAAATGGAATTTTTGTTTTCATGCATAGCTGCATCATACACCACCATAGTATGAAAATTAAATAGGTTCGAGACCTTAAATGTTCCCGCCTCTACAGAAAATAGAATTTTTATAGGGGTTAATCCATATATTAAGCGGTATATGAACATTAAATAAGTTAATCATTGGAAAATTAGAAATGATTCCCATGTACGCTAAAGATATATTTAGCAAACATATATAAATTTGGAGTGTGTTTAGGTATTTTTAAACAACATGAAAGATGTTAAACAGTATATATAGTTTTTAATGGAAAAATCAGCTATTTCATAGGGGTTAGCCCACATATTTCATGAAAAATTATAAAATATGGAATTTTTGTTTTAATGCATAGCTGCATCATACACCGACATACTATGAATATTAAATAGGTTTGAGACCTTAAATGTTTCTATTTCTCCAGAAAATATGATTTTTTATTGGGGTTAATCCACATATTAAGTGGTATATGAATGTTAAATAAATTAATCATTGGAAAATTTGAAATGATTCACATGTAACACAAAGTTAAGTTTGCCAAACATAAATAAAATTTGGTGTGCGTGTAGGTATTTTTTAAACAACAAGAAAATTGGTAAATAGTATATATAGTATTTAACGGAAAATTCAGCTTTTTCATAGGAGTTAGCCCACATAATTCATGAAAAATTATAAAAAATATAATTTTTCTTTTAATGCATAGCTGCATCATACACATACATAGTATGAATATAAAATAGGTTTGATACCTTAAATTTATGTGTTTCTCCTAAAAAATATGATTTTTATCGGGGTTAATCCACATATTAAGTGGTATATGAATGTTAAATAAATTAATCAATGGAAAATTTGAAATGGTTCACATGTACCATAAATATAAGTTGAGCAGACATATATAAAAGTTTGGAGTGCGTTTAGGTATTTTTTAAACAACACGAAAGATGGTAAATAGTATATCTGGTATTTAACGGAAAATTCAGCTTTTTCGTAGGGGTTAGCTCACATATTTCAAGATAAATTATTAAAAAAAATGGAATTTTTGTTTTCATGCATAGCTGCATCATACACCACCATAGTATGAAAATTAAATAGGTTCGAGACTTTAAATGTTCCCGCCTCTACAGAAAATAGAATTTTTATAGGGGTTAATCCATATATTAAGTGGTATATGAACGTTAAATAAGTTAATCATTGGAAAATTAGAAATGATTCACATGTACGCTAAAGATAAGTTTAGAAAACATATATAAATTTGGAGTGCGTTTAGGTATTTTTAAACAACACGAAAGATGTTAAACAGTATATATAGTTTTTAATGGAAAATTCAGCTTTTTCATAGGGGTTACCCCACATATTTCATGAAAAATTATAAATATGGAATTTTTGTTTTAATGCATAGCTGCATCATACACCGACATAGTATGAATATTAAATAGGTTTGAGACCTTAAATGTTTCTATTTCTCCAGAAAATATGATTTTTATTGCGGTTAATCCACATATTAAGTGGTATATGAATGTTAAATAAATTAATCATTGGAAAATTTGAAATGATTCACATGTACCACAAAGTTAAGTTTGGCAAACATATATAAAATTTGGCATGCGTGTAGGTATTTTTTAAACAACAAGAAAATTGGTAAATAGTATATATAGTATTTAACCGAAAATTCAGCATTTTCATAGGGGTTAGCCCACATAATTCATGAAAAATTATTAAAAATATAATTATTCTTTTAATGCATAGCTACATCATACACAGACATAGTATGAATAGTAAATAGGTTTGAGACCTTAAATGTTTGTGTTTCTCCAAAAAATAGGATTTTTATTGGGGTTAATCCACATATTAAGTGGTATAAGAATGTTAAATAAATTAATCAATGGAAAATTTGAAATGATTCACATGTGCCATAAATATAAGTTTAACAGACATATATAAAAATTTGGAGTGCGTTTAGGTATTTTTTAAACAACACGAAAGATGCTAAAGAGTGCGTTTAGCCCACATATTTCATGAAAAATTATAAAAAAAATGGAATTTTGTTTTAATGCATATCTGCATCATACACCGACATAGTATGAATATTAAATAGGTTTGAGACCTTAAATGTTTCTATTTCTCCAGAAAATATGATTTTTTATTGGGGTTAATCCACATATTAAGTGGTATATGAATATTAAATAAATTAATTATTGGAAAATTTGAAATGATTCACATGTACCACAAAGTTAAGTTTGGCAAACATATATAAAATTTGGCGTGCGTGTAGGTATTTTTTAAACAACAAGAAAATTGGTAAATAGTATATATAGTATTTAACCGAAAATTCAGCATTTTCATACGGGTTAGCTCACATAATTCATGAAAAATTATAGAAAATATAATTATTCTTTTAATGCATAGCTGCATCATACACAGACATAGTATGAATAGTAAATAGGTTTGAGACCTCAAATGTTTGTGTTTCTCCAAAAAAATAGGATTTTTATTGGGGTTAATCCACATATTAAGTGGTATATGAATGTTAAATAAATTAATCAATGGAAAATTTGAAATGGTTCACATGTACCATAAATATAAGTTTAGCAGACATATATAAAAGTTTGGAGTGCGTTTAGGTATTTTTTAAACAACACGAAAGATGGTAAATAGTATATCTAGTATTTAACGGAAAATTTAGCTTTTTCGTAGGGGTTAGCTCACATATTTCAAGATAAATTATAAAAAAATGGAATTTTTGTTTTCATGCATAGCTGCATCATACACCACCATAGTATGAAAATTAAATAGGTTCGAGACCTTAAATGTTCCCGCCTCTACAGAAAATAGAATTTTTATAGGGGTTAATCCATATATTAAGTGGTATATGAACGTTAAATAAGTTAATCATTGGAAAATTAGAAATGATTCCCATGTACGCTAAAGATAAGTTTAGCAAACATATATAAATTTGGAGTGCGTTTAGGTATTTTTAAACAACACGAAAGATGTTAAACAGTATATATAATTTTTAATGGAAAATTCAACTTTTTCATAGGGGTTAGCCCACATATTTCATGAAAAATTATAAAATATGGAATTTTTGTTTTAATGCCTAGCTGCATCATACACCGACATAGTATGAATATTAAATAGGTTTGAGACCTTAAATGTTTCTATTTCTCCAGAAAATAGACCTCAAAAATTAAAATTACCAAAATAGTACTTTTTGTTTTGAAAATTTTAAGTTTTTTCTATTTTTAAAAATTTGAAACCCTATCCCAAAATCCCACTCCACAAGTCTAAACAAAAAAGTCTAGAACTAGTTAACCCAAGAAGTATAAATGTATATTTAATAAAACATTTAAGTTCTATTTTGGTCATTTTAGTTGTGAATGTCTATATTTGTGACAAAAAAAAAACTCTTTTAGGTATATCCTAGTCATTTTCTCATAAATAATTCATAATGGTTAATTGACTAATTTAATTTAGGTAATGCATGAAGTTTTATTAAATTAATTGTTAAAATTTTAAAATGATGTCACTGTACCATGAAAAAGAGTTTATCATACATTAACACAAATATATGATATGGTTAAAAAAATTTAAACAACACTAAAGAGTATAAGCTTCAGTATATAGAGCATTTAACAAAAAAAAATTAATATTTTCATAGGGATTACCCACAAATATAGAAAAAATTCAAAAAAAATGAAAATTTGGTTTTAATACATAGTAGCATCGTTCATTGGCATATGATGATGTTCAAAGAGGTTTAGAACCTCTTATCTCTCCGTTTATCTAGATAATATATATTTCATAATGATTAATCGGCTAATCAAATTAAAGTATTGGGGGCTCAAAAGTTAACAATGTCATTTCTGTACAGTTTAGATTTTGCACAATTTCAACAATCTAGTCCAAGTAATGCTCTGCTTTAGTAACAAACTCAATTTTTCGACAATATCTTTTCTTTAATCAAAATTGTTATGTTCAATTCAAAATGCATTGGTCAACACACAACAGAGTCGGGTTGAGAAATCAAGCAAAAGCTCATCCTCTCTTGGCTTTCCTTTCCTTTACTTTTGGTTATTTCACGCCACTTCACATTTTGTGCCACATAGAAAGACTCATCATTGCTCGACCTTTTTTTTTTCTTTCTTTCATTCCTTCCCTTTCTTCTTGTTAACGAGACCAAAAAGAAAAGACATCTCATCCAGTTTCTTCTTCCACACCTTCAGATACTTCCTCTCCCTTTTTTACAACTTCAGTTTCTGGCTCTCCCTTGCCCACAACTTCAGTTTCTGGCTCTCCCTTGCCCACAACTTCACTTTCTTCTTCTCTCGTGTGGACAACCTCAGTTTCCACTTCTCCATTGTCAAAAACTTCAGTTTCTTCTTCTCTTGCGTGGACAGCTTCTGTTTCTTCTTCTCTCGTGTGGACAACTTCAGTTTCCTCTACTCCATTGTCAGAAACTTCAGTTTCTTTCTCTCCCATGCCACCACTTTCATTTCCTTGCTCTCCCAAGTCCACAACTTCAGTTTCTTTCTCTCCATTGTCAACTACTTCAGTCTCTTGCTCTCTCTTGTCAACAACTTCAGTTTCTACCTTTCCCATGTCGACACCTATGTTCACAGCTTCAGCTTCAGCTTCTTCATCTCTTTTGTCCACAGCTTCAGCTTCTTCATCTCTTTTGTCCACAGCTTCAGCATCTTCACCTCCCTTGTCCACAATTCCATTTTCTTGCTCTCCCATGCCTCCAGTTTCATTTTCTTGCTCACCCATGTCCACAACTTCGGGTTCTTTCTCTCCATTGTCAACAGCTTGAGCCTCTTGCTCTCTCATGTCAACTACTTCAGTATCTACCTTTACAATCTCCACAACTTCGGTTTCCACCCCTCCCATGTCGACAATTCCAGTTTCTTCATCTCCCTTGTCCACAACTTCATCTCCATTGTCCTCAATTCCATTTTCTTGCTCTGGCACAATCTCCAACTGTTCCTTTCCTTCATTTTCGTTGATGAGTTTTTCATCTTCGTAGTTCCCACTATCTTGTGCCTTTTCGCTTACCACTTCTTCTCTCCCTTCACTTCCGCTACCGAGTTGGTCATCTCCCTCTTCTCCGTGGGGACTAACTGGCACAATCTCTGTTTCTTCGTCTCCTTCCTTTTCGTTCGTAGGTTTTTCACCTTCTTGGTTCCCATTATCTTGTGCCTTTTGGCTTACCGGTTGTTCATTTCCGCTATCAAGTTGGTCTTCGTGAGGACTAAGCGTGAGTCTTTCTTTTCTATCAAAGGCCTGCTCATCTACTTCTCCTTGGCTGAACCGTGGCTCATCTTCTTCATCGTCCTCATCCTCATCCATTTTCATGTACAGACCTAGCTGTTCTAATGGGTTACTGTTTCCTTCCATCTTAAAACTACCCAACATATCCTCACTAAATTTGGGGCTCATCTCCTTCATGAAAGTCGGTAGTTGATCACCCTCGGCACCTGTAGCTCTAAGCATCTCCAGGTCTTCCATAAACCGCCTACCCTCATCTATCTCCACCGTCTTTTCCAGCTGTAGCCGTCCAAAAAAGGATCAATCAGCATGATTGTACATCATTATAGGACTTCAGAAAATGTATCGAAACTTAAGAACTCCTTTATACCTTTTGTAAGGCTTGTCGTGCAGCTTCTCTCTCTTGCTCTCTTTCCCTCCTTGCTTTCTCTGCAGCTTCTGCTTTGGCTTTCCTCTTAGCCTCTTCAGCAGCTTTGGCCTCGGCTTGTAACCGTAGGTTTTCTAAATAAGGAAACCCAAAATCGCAAGAAGAAATTTAGTTAAGAATTATGAAGTGCATAAACACACTCGATGCACTACAATCCCACCTTCCCTAAGCCGTTTCTCAAACTTCTCTCTTTCTATCCTCAGCTTTTCAGCATCTCCTTTCTCACCCTGAAAGATGCATGAGTCAAAATTGTAACTAAACATTTTCAAACATTCAGACGAGCTATTTTTTCATAAGAAAGTAATTAAAACTCAACCTTAGTTAGAGTCTTCTCTCGAGCTTTCATAATGGTATCAGCAAAACGACTTTTCAACAGAGCCGCGCGCTGACGCTTTCCTGGGGAATCTTGCCTCTCAAGTGGAGCCGTCTCCTCTATGATAGCCGAAACGTGACAGGTAAACTCATGATATCATAACAAAAAGCTATTAACATCATTATCGTTAACTTCCATTTCTTACCCTCTGCAAGGACATGTACTTCATCCATGGCGGTCGACTTTTCCCCAACATCATGCTCAACTGGACCCAACTCATTTAAAGAATCTACAGAGAACAAAAAATGAGTTTCGGGATGACTTTCATCCTAGCACCCAACTTGCATACAACAATTGGAAAGAGACTAACCATTTACAACATTCTTTTCACCGTTGATATCAACTCCTTGTTCCTTTTTATCCTAAATTAAAGAGACGAATACACTTATTCTACTGTAGTAAATTTCAATTTTATGATTGTAAGACGCCATGAAATAAAGCAGAGAGTAATTAAGGATTTTGGCTAAGAGAAACTAGAGCAATATCACAAAGACACCATAACTGAAGTTAATTCCACTGTCATATACCTCTGTACTCGTAGGATTTGAAGCTTTAATGAAATCTGTTTCACTCTTAGAAGAACTACAAGAATCAGAATCTGAAATATAATCACAGAAGAATCAGTATAAAAGGCTCTTTCTATGGGGGAAAAATTAAACAAAGAAAATAATTCTAGAATTCACCAAATCCCAAAGTAAGAAATAACTCCTTCTGTCATCAATTAATAAACCACACAAACTAACTACAATATCCACAGTTTTACGCTGAGACCCATCAACACAACTACCACAATTTTATAATCACCAAAACAAAAACCAAATTAAAAAACAGGTAGCACGCTCAAGTTACGAACCGGACTCAACAATCAAAATACTAATCAGTACTCACTCCAAGAAGAAAGCGATGAATCTAAGATAGAGTTACTTTATTTCCAGTCTTAACTAATCTTACATACAGTAAAAATTAGTACAATTTAAGAGAAATGATTACTCTAAAGAAATAAAAGAAGGCTCGCATAAACACGAACCACTAGATGAAGAGCCTGATTCCCTACTGGAGCTACTCGCGCTGCTGCATTCATTGTTTCCACATGCAGCATCTTTTTCTATTTTCTGAGGGGGATGGCTAGAAACAGGGGGGTCATTCCCACCAATTATGTCAACATCCTCGTCAATTAGCAGATCACCTGTAATCAGGAATTCATCAGACTACTGAAACAAATCATTTTCGACATAAACCATATAGCAAAAGCTTACCTTTACTAGGCTGCAGAGTGGAATTACTGAATCCAGAGTGATGAGCTATCTGTTACAAGACAAGTTAAACCAAAAGTCAAATGACAAAATTTCCTGGCGTACACAAACAATCACTAAAAACTGATCACAGAGATTCCTTACCTCCATCTCACAATGTTCACTCTTTTCCTGGGATTTCTTCTTGTCCTTTAGATAGTCATCCAGGAGTTTCCGAACCATGAACAAGGTTTCATCTGAAAGCGTCTCTATATCTATCTCAACCTCAACTTCCCCAGATAGGTCATCATTGCCAATTTGCTCTTTCAGGAGATCAATAATGTTCTGTGGGAAATCTTCTTCTAACGAATCCAAATCTTGGCTTAGCTTTTTCTTCTCATCATCTGTCATGACCACCTTCGCAGGCTCCACCCTCAACTTGCTCTCGTTCACTACAGCTGTATTCCTCCTTGGTGGTGCAACATTATACGGGACTTCAGACTCCAGAGAAGCAGAACTCGTTAGAGACATGACCGGTGGCTCCATCACAGGTATCTTCTTCTCTATAGTCTTCCATCTCGTCTCAAAATACGTGTTGAGATCTCGAGCCATTTTATGGTACTGGTTCCCCGGCGGGTTGTAAGCCATGGAATTTGAAAACGTAAGACGCACATCTTCCGCAAAGTCCAACGGACTAGAGTATTCTCCATTACGCAGTCTGCTCCTTATCGTCCCAAGATCCATCGGGTGCTTAACCACAGTAAAATAGTCTGGAATATTCAACAAAACAGGATCAACCGGAATCCGAAACGGAAACCCCAACTTATGCGACCATAAACGATCCAGCAAAGTCTGACACTCCTTCATCAACGAAGCAACTGTAGACCCTCTTGGAACATCTAATCTACCAGATGATGAAACTTTCTTACTCAGCACCTTATCATTCCGTAAAGGACGACGCTTTTTCCCCTGAGTAACCACCCTCCTAGACCCACCATCACTGCAACTATGAGGATCACTATACGGAGACAACATAACCCTATCTGAACTAATACATGCAATCCTCTTGCTAAGCTCCCTGACCTGCTCAAGCTCCATACTCAACCTATGAACTAAATGCTCTCTCTCAGACCTTAACATGTTCGACAAAGATAAAACCTCTTTAGGTACTCCATATCTATCTCCTCCACCATTCAAACTAAAACGACTCCGTTTCCTCACAGGCGCCTCCTCCTCATCCATCTCACTATCTGTTCCACGTGGGTAACCAAATTCATCACGCTCGATAGCTCGTATCCCTCTTGAATGCTTCTTCGCTTTCCCCATCGAAAAAAAAGACGATTTAGGAGGGATCCTTCTTCTCTCCCGTAAACTCTATAGGATTAGCTTCCAATGGCTGCACATGTTAAATTGAACGATTTGGCGTCAACGAAGCTGCAGTAATCAATCAAATTACTCGCCTTAGTCCCTTCCACGATCAATTGCACAAACCCTAGATTCACGATTGATTCGAATCAATCCGATGATTAATCGAATTGAAATCAGAATCAACGAATTGGCGCGAATCTCCCAAAATTGAAACCCTAGAGAAACCCTAAAATCGATTTGAAAACCTAGATCGGGAGTTTTTTTTCCAGGTATCGTTACCAAATGAGAAAGAATCGAAATAAACGAAAGAAGTAAGAGAGAGAGAGGGGAGAGAGAAAGTTATCGTCCAATAACGGACGAGTTTGGTTGTCTACTTATAGATCCGAAGAGGATGATTCAACCCGCCGCCTTTAAGCGAATCTAAGCCGTTAATCTTTTGCAGCCAATCAAAAATCTAAACGGATGTAAATATGAGTTCGATATTTACCGTCAAGATTAGATCCAACGGCTGTTAAACGATACTTACGAGCAATCTAGTGGAGAAAGATCTCACGCGTGTGAACGTAATTAGATCCACTCAGAAGATGACACGTGTTGATGAGGTGCGTGTAATGGACGCGAACATCGACCGACATTTCCTCCACTACCTTGACTATTTTACCCAGTTAACGCGCCTTGTAAATCGTGTCTGATTAACACGTGACAGTTTCTTACCTGATCCCAAGACTTATGATTTTTGGGCCTTTATAAAAGCCCAATAAGCTACTGATTCTTTACACGTTAGCTCCCTATAAAATTTGTTTATTTGATTCGATATAGAGAGGAATGTTAAGAGACACTGCTACAATGCAGAAGAAACAACTCATGCTATCAGAAAGGAGACAGCAGACCATACTCAAATACAGTTTCGGTCGGAAACAGACATTATTCTCCCGCAAAGTTTGAAAAAATTAGTCGAACAGACAAAGCGCAAAAGACTAGAAAAGAACTGTCATTCCGCAGATGAGTAGATATATAGATGTGTGTCTCTCTTGTAGGAAAGGGAAAAAAATGGATTCTAACCAAAGGAGATGACTGCCTTGAGCGAGCAGTCTTTCATCATCATCAGGACAATGCTTTTTGAACCTCTGATGTTACATCTTGTGGAGCCTTCTCGGCGTGGATGTTTGTAAGAACAGCCTTCTTTGCGTAGTACTCAATCACCTGTGAACAATGAAAGAACATGAACATGAAGGGTGTAAAGACCTTAAGAACAACAATGACGCTCAACAAGTGGAATATGAATCAATACCGGTTCAGTTTGAGTGTGGAAAGCTGCAAGTCTTGACCTTAGAACCTCAGCGTTATCATCTTTACGTTGGATCAGAGGCTCACCAGTAATCTTCAATGTTAAATAATCAGTTAGTTAACAGATAGTATATCAAGGTTTAGTATTAGTCTTACATCATCAACGCCAGGGGTTTTGGGAGGTGCGAACTTGGTGTGGTAACTCCTGCCACTAGATGGGTGGATCCATCTCCCGGTTATTCTCTCCTCTAGGACTGAGTCATCAATAGCAAAGTTGAGAACTTTGTCGATTCCAGTTCCACGCTTCTTAAGCATCTCATCTAGCTGCAAACACACGACAAACCATAAGAAACAAAGAAAGATGAAACAGTGACGATTCTAATGAACTATCACCTTCTCAGCCTGAGCAACAGTCCTGGGAAACCCATCAAGGATAAAACCTTTCTGACATTTCGGCTTGTTCATGGCTTCATCAATTATACCAACAACCAGTTCATCAGTAACAAGCGCTCCCTGTACAAAAAAAAAACAATAATACAATCAACAAAAGCAATTGAAACACATGAGCAAAAAAAGAGAGAGAGAGATGTGACCTTGTCCATAGCTTCTTTGGCCTTAAGACCAAGAGGGGTCTTGGAAGCAACAGCAGCTCTTAACATATCTCCAGTGGATAAATGACACAAACAAAACTCATCCTTCACTATTGGTGACTGTGTACCTTTCCCTGACCCTGGAGGTCCTGTAAATTCACACAACAACAAAAAAAAAAAAAAAATCATTCTCAACACTCCATCCACTAAATCACACATGCACATTCAAATCACACCACAAGAACCTAAATTTTCACCAAATTATCTTTTTAATGATCTTAAAAGTTTATGTGAAAAAAACAAATAATGAAACTTTTAGATCTACAAAGAAAGACACAACTAATTAACATTAGTCTTAAACAACTAATTAACATTAGTTTTAATTAAACAACTAATTAACATTGGTCTTAAACAACAGACTTAAAGTGTAATGAAACTTTAGATCTAATAGTCTCATGGTCAAAACAGCAAACAAACAGAACCACTTGAGAACCCACTCAAGTTTAAATTGTGTTAATTTCATCATTGCAATAACGCGAAACATGAACTCGTTCGCAAGCTATCACTTATACCATTTTCTCAGATCTAAAACAAAAGAGGATTGATTGATTGATAGAGATACCTATGAAGATGAGGCGTTTGTCGGGTTTCTGAGAACATTTGAGACGGCGGAGGAGCTCGGACATGAGATCTACGGTCTGAACATCTTCCAAATCCGCCATAGCTTCCGATCTAGTTTCGTGTCTGTTTAGGCTCTTAAAGTCTTCGTTTTTGTCGAAAGGGTTTTTGGCCTTTGCTATAGTCAAAAGGGATATAACAGTTAACCGGAGCCGGGTTTTCCAGATTCGGGTCTCTTTGTATTTACATTAGGACTTTTTTGAGTCTTTGACTTTGACCAACTGAAAGTCTCGTTAGGCCCAATAACGGCCCACCAAAATAACCTCATAACTTGGTTTACTTATGGTATACAATTCAGAACTGAGATTTTAATTTGTTCTGCTATTATATAAAAAGTAATATTTTCCTTATTTTTATATATGAAGTAAACTATTTTCACAACTATCTTTCAAAAAATATTCTTCTGATTTTTTCCACATTTTTTGGTTTAATAAGAGTTCAATGTTATTTTTTTCTTTAGAAGAATTAATATCAATGTCCTTCTAAATAAATCCATAAATAATAGGGGATTTTCATACACACAAATAATAATATTTTAAATACATAGCATCTATGAAGCATGAAATTTTTTTTATATGTTCCTCATTTTGATATAAAATTATTTAACAAAATTTCTTTACAAAGAAAACAATTTTTGGCTTAATTGTTCACACTTTTTAGGTTTTGCAAGATTTCAATGTTATATTTTGTTTTGTCAGATTAATTTAATGCTATTTCTTTCCTTTTTCAATCGTTTCATAAATAATAGGTGAATTTCATACACACAGAATACACAAATCTATGAACCATGTAAAAGTTTTTTTCATTTTTCATAAGAACAAAGAGAATAAGCTTATGTACATTAATAATGGTCACCATCTTCAGCCTGTAACTGAGAAGCATACTGCAAATTCCACAAGATATCTTCAAAAGATGGTCGGCTTAACGATTCAGGCGAAACACATTTGTTCATAAGAGTTATCACTCTTATCAAAGATCCGTTCCGACAAGTAGCTTGTACTGTCGGATTCACCATTCTCCTCCTTCCTTCCTCACTCTCCAACGATGCCTGAAACACAAAGCAGAGACAAAGATCACAACCTTTTTCTTACACAAGTACAAGGTTTAAAGTTTGGAAAGAACCTCGTACCAGTTCATCTCTGAGAAATGCTTCTTCTCTTAAGGAAACAGATGGTCCAACGATTGCTTGTAGAAGAATCAACCCGAAACTGTATACATCATCTTCTAACCTTGACATTTGCCATGATTTTGCTATTTCCTAATCAAGAAAAGTTGTAACGTGAATAACAAGTATTAGGTTTTTCCATGTTAAGATTAGAACCACTAGGCTCACACATTGCAGCTAAACTAGTCTTGGTTACAGTTTAACAAAACCGGTTAATAAAAAAACATCAACAACAAGAAGGGAAGCATTGCACCAAGTGGTTTAGTCCGGATAAAACCGGTTCAGAACAGAAACAGAATCACTATTACTAAGCTCACTAATTGCAGCTAAACTAGTCTTGGTTATCAAAAAACAAGAAGAGAAGCATAACACAAAGTGGCATCTCTAGGGGTGTGTTAATCCGGTTTAAAACCCGGTTCAGAACAGAAACAGAAGATTAGAGTAACGAGCTTAACTGTGTTATGTCTGGTTGCTTCAGAGACAATAGACAAGCCATAATCACTCAGCTTAGCAAACCGGTGTTGGTTAAGCAAGACATTGTTAGTCTTTAGTCTATTACTAAAGAATCCAGGTATCACTCCAGTGTGAAGATAATGAACAGCCTTTGCAACACCTGTAAGAACAGTTAGTCTCTCTGACCAGTTCATAGCCTTACCCCAACTATCATCTGCTCAACACCAACAAAAGTTTTGTAAGATAATCTATTACCTTTTTGTCTATAAAACAACAAAGATTTAAAAGTTTTGAACAAGATTAAACCTGAGAGACAAGATTGGAAGTTCCCATTTGGAATGTATTCATAAATCAAGAAGACTTTCTCAACACTGTAATCATCTTTTCCACCACAGTCTATGCAATGACCCAACAAGCAAACAAGGTTTGGGTGTCTAAGCTTGGCAAGCAAGTCAAGCCTCAGTTTTAGATTCCTTATTGAGTATTTCTTTGATGAAGGTAAACATCTTATAGCCACTTTTGTTCCATTCTCAAGAGTTCCTTTGTAAAGCTGAAAGATTACAAGCAAAGTCTAAGAATCAAGATTGATGATGGTGAAAACACTAAAGCTGTCATGAAACTTACCGTGCCATACAAGGAACTTTCACCGAGAATCGCGGTTTTGTCAAAGTTCTTAGTAGCTTGAACTATCTCTTCTAAGGTAAACTGTCTACATACCGGTAAATCCTCTGTACCAAACTTTGATGTTTCAGAAATATACCCTAATCACAAAAAAAAAGAGTTGTAAGTTTCTTAATCACAATATGTATCGATGTTTTTTGTCGAAAACCTTACTTGCATTAGAGAGTATCTCAGATGAAAATCCAATGGATGGACGACTATCTTGAACTGTCTTATGACTCATTTGCCTCTTTGTGACTCCTTTTCTTCTAAGTAATATGAACACACCACATATTAGAACCAATGCAGCCATTGATACACCAATGATCAGACCAACCAAAGCTCCTTTCTTCCATCCTCTTTGTCCTGGTCTATTTGCAGCTTCAGCCTCAGCTTCAGCTTCAGCATGCTGCTCAGCGCGAACTTCTTTAACACAAAAAGATACTTGATGCTGCTGTTTCTCTAAAGATAAACAGTTCCCATTGAATCTCACTTGCTTGCTTCTCAAGCAACGAGGGACATTTCCGGTTAACTTATTGTCTGAAATGTCTACAAACCAAAGTTTGCTTCCACATTTCAGATCACCAGGAAGTGAACCACTCAAAGAGTTAGCCCTCAAATCTATATACTCGAGTGTAGACAACGTGAGTAGTGAAGAATGTAGCTCACCAAATAACTCATTACTCTCAAAGCTAAGAACTTTTAGGTTTGCAAACGAATCAAACCAGCTAGGTAACGTGCCATTGAAGAAATTATGATCAAACCTGAAAGTCTCAAGCTTCACCATTGTAGACAACTTTGGTGGTACTGAACCAAACAGAAAGTTATCACTCAAATCCAAATACTCAAGTGAAGTTAACCTATGAAGCTTCTCAGGGAGGTGACCCCAAATCCCTAGAGAAGACAAAGTAAGAACCCTAAGTGACTTAAGCCTTGACAGTGTAGTGACAAAGGAGTCAATAGAGAATCTTTCAGACAAGGTCACGTTAGGGACAGCAAAACCCTCGAAGCTTTTGGTCTTTTCTGATGATTTTTCGCCGAAGATGTTTAGCTCTGTGACTGAGTTAGAGAAACAAGAGATGTTCATGGATGGTGATGGTTGTAAGTAGCAGAAACTGGTCTTGTGATCATACCAAGATTCGAGCTGTTTTGGATATTCTAAGTGTTTTTTCAGCTGGAGAAGGACTTGTGCTTGTGAAGCTTGGAGCTGAGATGAGGCTAAGCTGTAGAAACTCCATAGAAGAGATAACAAGAAGATGAATTTAAAGAAACCCATTTGTCAGCTCGCAGTGAAAAAAAGGTTTCAGACAAGATCTGCAACAAAACAGAAACACAGCTTAAGAGATTGAAACATAATAGTACAAAACTGGTAAAAAGAAAACAGAGTAATCTTGAGAAAAAACAGAGTAGTACCTTATAACTTCAAACGTTACAAAGGTTCAAAGAACAGAGCATATCGATGATTCAGAGGAAAAAGAGAGTAAGACACTTTCAGTCACCGACACATATTAGTGATTCGTGTAAGAAAGAAGATTAAAAAGCAAGAATCTTTAACGCGTGAAAGAGAGAGAGAGAGGACGCCAGAGTTTTTTTTTTTTTTGTTCAGGGTTTGTGTAGTGAGAGAGTATAGTAGTAGTTGTATTATATTCCCAAGAATCTTTCTTTTCAATATGCATGATTTAAATTTTTGTGGGGTTACTTAAAGAAAGTAACTTTATTTAATTTATTAGTTTTTAGAAAAATCTTATATATTAAAACAGAAGTCATGACTTGATTTCATGTGTAATTTTTTTAAAAATGGACTATTACTAGAAAGTTATGTTACATTAACTCTAATAATCTTATCATTATTATATCTTATAATAGGCTTAATAATTTGGTTTAGGTAAATTACCCCACACTTTCCAACTTAGTCACGCAAAATATGTCAATAAATATAAGTTTAGAAATCTTCTATTATTTCTAAGGAAATATGTCAATAATAGTTAAATTCATCCACAATATATTAACAAAAATCACAGATTAGTAATATGAAATATTTATATACCCTAACAAAATTTACACGCTATATATATTAGATAAATTTATTTTGATGTAAATTTTTAAAATTATATTGTTTTAAAAAATAAATTGTTTAAAAAATTCTTTTTAATAAAATTCTTTATAATATTAATTTATGAAGCTATAAGTTTAGTTTTTAGCAAAAAAATTTTTGAAGTTTATATTATCTTTGCAAATTAAATTACACTAATATTTAATTAAGCTCTATTTATATTACTTTATCTAAAAATGAAATACTAATCTAACAAACAATAAAATATAGAAGAAGAAACAAACGCATGTTTGAAAAACATGTATAATATAGAAAATTTGAAACAATCTATTTGATTAAAATATTTATTATATAATATTATTTTGTTTGAAAAATATTTACTATACATATCGTAAATATGTGATTACTATAATATATATCAATTTACAAGTGAAAAACAAAATGTTTATATAACTAAATATAAACGAAAATAAACACCCGCGCGGTTGCGCGGATCAAAATCTAGTATAAAAGTTAAAAGCCAAAGCTTTCTCCATAATGTATACAATTATTTAAACAAGTGTACTTATAATAATGGGTTTTTGTATTTGATATCGATATATACATTATTTTTGGACATTTAGTACATGAGCTTTTTGTATTTGTATGGATATAATTGGGACCAAGCCATTCCGGAAGAAACCAAAGGAGAAGATGTTAAAAGTGGCTTCATATACCTAGTTCATTAACAATGACAAATTAATGTGATTTATCCTCTTCTCTTTTTGGAAAATGGCAATAAATATAA